GTGGAGAAATCGCAGAATGGGGGGACGGGCGAACCGAGGGGAAGAAGGCTGCATGCAGCCTTATACGGACCGATGCCGGTCTGAAAAAAACTGTAGTGGGACCCAGCGTCCAATCAATTCAGAGATATTGTCAAATGGATATATACAGACCGAAACCGGTCCGTATATATTTACTTAAATAATATTTTTTCCATATTTTTTGGTATTTAATATTTATTTTTTTCAGGAATAATATTCGGACCGAAAACGGTCCGGATATTATTGGCGCGTTTGTACCCCTGACTCTGGCCAGAAATATTTTTTGGTATTTAATATTTATTTCTTTCAGAAATAATATTCGGACCGAAAACGGTCCGTATATTATTGGCGCGATTGTACTGTTGACTCCCGCCAGAAATTTTTTTTGGTATTTAATATTTAGTTTTTTCAGAAATAATATTCGGACCGAAAACGGTCTGAATATTATTGGCGCATCTACACTGTGACTCCCGCCAGAAATATACGGACCGATACCGGTCCGAATATGTTATCAGTATATTTTCCCCCACCGGAATATATTCAGACTGATATTGGTTCGAATATTTATTTTTTCGGACCGACACGGTTCGATCCGTATATGATCGGTCCGCATACGTCATTTTTCTAGTAGTGGAGTAATAATCTTAATCTGTTGAGTGTTGTATTTATATACCTAAAGCACCAAAATTCTTGCCTCTCGACATTGTTAGTATACTATATTCACAATAGTGGGAATGCTGGAATGGACCTTGAGAAAATAAATTAGCGTGTTTAATTCGGTCAATATAACTGATCATTTAAGTGCGAACATTTTGGAAAAAATGAAATATTGAACTTAATTCGGTCAAATTAGTCAATATGTTTGACCAAATTAAGCATGCGCATTTCGAAAAAAATAAAATTAGCATGTTTAATTTAGTCAATATGACTGGCAGAATTAAACATGTAGATTGCAAAATAAAAAATTCAAATTATTGAATGAATTTTAATCAAAATAATAAATATTATAATGCAATTTAATATTAAAAAAATTCAATTTCAATATCATCAATTATATACAATTCTTATTTATTTTATTTTTTTGATCTTTTATAGTTTTTAATTATTATTATATTTATTTATTATTAATTATGGTTAAATTTGGTTGATTGATGTTCATCTCAAGTTTGAACTTTCACCTGAAACCCTTTATCTCACCATCAACATAATTGACCGGTTCCTCTCGGTTAAGGTTGTACCAAGGAGGGAGTTGCAGCTGGTTGGCATGGGTGCCATGATTATGGCCTCAAAATATGAAGAAATCTGGGGCCCTGAGGTTAGTATATATCATCTATATAGCATATCCATTCCTTATGTTACCGTTTCTTTATATTTTTTTATCTTGGCTGAATTTAATATAATCTGAATTTTGTGTAGGTAAATGATTTAGTATGCATAGCAGATAGAGCATACTCACATGAACAGATATTGGTCATGGAGAAAACAATACTGGGAAAGCTGGAATGGACCTTGACAGTCCCTACACATTACGTGTTTCTTGTTCGTTTTCTCAAGGCATCCATTCCTGATGAAAAGGTCTATACGTTTCTTCTAATCAGTCTTCTCTAATGTTACTGAATTTTGGATTGAAAATCCCATTAATTAGTTGTTGTGGTTTATAGATGGAAAACATGGTATTCTTCCTTGCCGAGTTGGGTATGATGCAATATGAGGCCATAATGTTCTGCCCATCAATGGTTGCTGCCTCAGCAGTCTACGCTGCGCGCTGCACTCTGAACAAGAAGCCTGCTTGGACTGACACACTTAAGCATCATACCGGTTACTCAGAAGAACAACTAACGTAATTATTCCTTTCTTTTCATTGCAGTAAAACCAAAAAATTGTTCTTTCTAATTACATTGTTGAGTATATGTTTCAGGGATTGTGCTAAGCTGCTGGCGCACTTCCACTCAAAGGCTGCAGAAAATAGGCTTCAGGCCGTGTATAGGAAGTACTCGAGCTCTCTACGAGAAGCTGTTGCGTTGCTTCAACCAGCTCAATTTCTGATGTCTCCTACTGCTGTGAAGAGCAAAGCTTAGGTTATATCTAGAATCATTGTTTAAAAAACAGTCACAAAGAATCTTCCTTTGATTTGGACAGTAACCTTTGTAGTTACTGGGGGAATTAAATTCATTCGATACTTTGATGTGGTTATGTTAGTAATTGTAAGATCATTTCCCCTCATATCTTCTCCTCTCAAGAACATGTTAAAAGTCTCTTTATTGTGCAATTTATGCTTATGGTAGTAGTGCAAAGAAAACATTTAAGGGACTGGAGTGCAAAAAAAAAAAAGGTATTAATTGCAGCAAGAACTCCCCATACCTAGAGTAATTAATTGCAGACTCACCATTCTGTCAAATAGACAACAACAACACCCATAAGTTCCTTCCCCCTCAAGTCTGAGGGTATGGCTAGTGTTCTTCCACAATTTTTCTTACAAAATGAGATCCTCCCATAACCCAGACCAGGGTAAGGAATTCACGGTCGTATATCCCCCAACTGCTTAATATGGTTTATGTGCTGGCACGAATGCGCTGCATAGAGAAGCATCTCCATCCATATTTCCTTTATTATCTTCCATCTAAGCCATATTTGTTGCAAGTTGAGTTTTATGACTAGATTTGATTCATATAGCTGCAGTTTATCCATTGGGGTTCTGTCCATTTATAAAACAAAGTATAATATAAAGAATAATGAACTTAATATCTGTATATATTTGAATTATCACTTATAATTAAGTTTAAGAGTTTGCTTGATTAGAGAGAATTAGTCTCACATCTTAATTTATTTTTCTTAAATCAAATAGCTTTCTAATGTTAAAATCAGAATGTATTATTATGATTCTTTGCATTAATATACAAAATTACCCTTAAAGAATACCCTAATCCTCATTTTTATAGTTATTCTTCATTAAAGCGTACTCTGTATTGATATTTTTTTTAGTAAGGCCAATTATAAAAGTAAATAACAGCTCAGCATTTATTTTATTTATTTTGAGTTGGACAATAAATACAACCTTTTTTTTTTTTTTTATCTGCATGATTACATCACTTACATATTTACTGCTCAAGTATAAAACTTTTTACTTTAATTAAAAAAATTATTATTAAACCATTTAAGTCTTCTCATCACTCTATTGGATTTTTAGAAAGCTGCCAAAATTTTGTCACCAGAATATTTTTCTAAGTTCTTTACGCCCCAATGATTCAAATAATCTGGAAGAAAGCCAATGACATGACACTATAATGACCTCTTTTATTTATTAATGTTCTAAGTAATATGACCTTTAATCATTCTTATATGAAAAAAGGTTTATCTATCATATGCCATAAAAAATAATAATTAAGTAATAATTGTAGTATTTTTTTTTAAAGATATGAAATTTTAAATTAAAAAATAATTTCTATTTTATAATTTAAAACAAACTAATAAAAAATTAATGCATAGTATTTATAATTACAATAAAAATTAACTTCTTCACTTTTAAGGTAAAAAATAATAATTATTAATCAATAATTACTCTTTATCTTGTGCCCTTAGGGCATAAAATAAATAATTTTTTTTATATTTAATTAGCCTATTAACTTTTAAAATTATATCAAATTGGTCGGCAAAAGGTACCCGTTTACCCCTTAACTTTTCGAATTTGAGGGTTTTTATCCTTCATATTAAAATACATAAATTTTTACTCTTCATATTTTCGAGTTTGAGAAAATGAGGCAAAATTTAACGTCGGAGCGTCACGTATAGCACGTGCACCGTTGGCCTCCATCAAATATACACATGTCAACGCCACCTCAGATTTTTTTGACAACTTGACATGCCAACTAGGATCCCGGCTACCAATTTTATTTGTGGATCCCACCCTGACTCAAGTTTGAAAAAAAAAAAAAGACAGATGAATGCCAGCAAACCGTCCGACTATTCACTTTCCTCTTCCCTTATTCAACTATTTCTTCAACTTCTGCAAATCTCTAACATCTCAATCAATCTATTCACCTCAATCAGTTTCTACATTTTGAGTTCTTCATCATCATCAAACAACAAAACCCACAGAAAACTAACAAAAAAAAAACAAAATCCACTAGGGTTCTTCGTCATCATAGAAAAAAAAACAAAACCCACAAAAAACAAAAAGAAAAAAAGGAAATTTTTTACCACTGAGTTACATCGAACCCGCGCCTGGGTTCGTTGGAACCCACGCCTGGGTTCGTTGGAACCCAGCGCCTGGGTTCGTTGGAACCCAGAGCGCTTCTTCCAAACAACCAGAGACCTGAATAATTGATCTCCGGCGAGATATATACGGTGGTAGAATAGAGATTATTCATCAGCTATGGAGACTGAGAATCCGGCGAATTACGCTTATATGGGGAGGAGCTTGGGGGAGTTGAGTGTCAATGATCATTCGTTTGCATTTAGTGATTGCAACAGCGATAGATCCGGCGAGTTCACGATGGCGACGTCGTCGTCGTCTCAGAGCCGGCGGTTTCTTCTCGCGTCTGCTTCGGAAAATTCCGACGATCTGATTCGGCAACTTGTTTTGGATCTTGAATCCTGTTCGGTTGACGAGCAAAAGCAAGCGGCTATGGAGCTCCGACTTTTGGCCAAGAATAAACCAGAGAATCGAATCAAGATCGCTAAATCAGGCGCAATTAA